GAGAGAGAGAGAGAGAGAGAGAGAGAGAGAGAGAGAGAGAGAGAGAGAGGAGAAACTGATAAAGCTAGATGAATGGGGGTGGGACAGGCAGGATTGTCTCAGCCCCTAGTGGTCCACACATCATTATGGGATGGATATAAAATTCACATTTAATGAGCATCTGAGATGAAAGGGCTGGATAGATGGGTCTACAGTTTTTTTTATTTGTTTGTTTTTTTTTAACTTATGCAACTTTGAGGATGAGTTCTGACCCTAGAACCATGTAACAAGCAAGACAAGGGCTCATGCAAGCCTGTATCCTCAGCAATGTGGGATGAATATAGAAGAATCTCTGAGGCTTATTGGCTGTCAAAAAAAAAAGTGATCTCCAGATTCAGGGAGAGACCTTGCCTCAAAGTAATAAGGTGGAGAGAGATAGAGCAAGATGATCTTGACCCACCCATGCATAGGCATGGGCACCCACATGTATACAAGTGCATACGCACACATGTGCATGCACACATACACACACACACACACACACACACACACACACACAGAGAGAGAGACAGAGACAGAGACAGAGAGAGAGATTGAGGGTTGCTAGAGTACTTTGATAAAGCAAAACACTTAAAGGTGAGGAAATGATCTTGTGATGGGTCCTCCTCAGACTTAAGGGCTCAGCTCAGTTATGCTGTGTGACCCTGAGGCCGATGCTCCCATCTCTGGGTCAGAGCTTCAAGGCTGACTTGGTGGCTGGACAGACTCCAGGTCCTCTCAAGAGGCTGGGTTATCAGCTGTGTGCACAAATCTCACCGTAAGGTTTGCTCTCTCCTGGTGGGGATCAAAGTCAGGACAGGAGAAGGAAGCAGGAAGACAAGTCCGGGCCTTTCCCTAGAGGTTCTTCTCCACCCAGGCAGCTTGGTGACAAGGTCCACTTTTGGGCTCATTCACTCTTGTGGCTTCCTTCATCCTTAGGTGTCTTAGGTGAGACTGGAATTATCTTTACTCCCATTTGTCAAGAGGGACAACCGAGACTCAGGGTGAGAGTCACTAGACCAAATGGGTAACAAGGTAGAAATTGAAACCCTCTGGACTGGTGGCCACCACCTCTTAACTGCGTTGGAAGCAGAGTAGAAAAGACATGGAAAGAGCCAGAACCATCGCTGTGACTGAAAACTAAGGAGGAAGTATTGTGTTTGTGTCTTTGTGATAAAAATCAAACCTATGGTGTTGTGCATGCTAAGAAAACATTCTGCCACTGAGCTACACCCCCAGTCCCTCACTGGAGGATTCTAGGCAGGAGTTCTACCACTGAGCCACATCCCAGCCCCTCACTGGGAGATTCTAGGCAGGGGCTCTGCCACTGAGTCACACCCCTAGCCTTTCACTGTGGGATTTTAGGTGAGGGCTTATACCAACCGTACTACTACTACTACTACTACTACTACTACTACTACGTGTACTACAGTTCTACAACTATAGTGCGGAGCCTGCTCTACAGGACCATTCCCTAGCTGGGCCTGGAGATTTAAACACACAAAGACACACAGACAGAGACATGAGTCTTCCTGAAACAAGAATGCCCCCTTTATTGTGTACCAGAGTCACTTATATATGGATCCTAGGCAAACCCACCAGAAACCACTCCTGAGGGTCTCATGCTCAGAGTAGCTACAAACAAAGGAAAAACAAATTGTTTTGCTCAGAGCAGTTGCAAGCATAACAGATTGTTTACAGGAAATCCAGGGTCTCTTCCACTGAGCTGCATCTCTAGCTCCTAGGTGGACTTGGAAAGTGAAGGAGGAGCCTGCTGTGTCTCCCTTAGAGGTGGGCTGGTAGAAGAGAAACAACAGTAAGTGGGACCCAGCCACAGCTTGCCTGTATTTATTATCACAACTACCACCACTCTACAATGCAGAGATACTACGCCAGCCTTACAGATGGGGAAACTGAGGTTCAGATCATAAATTCGTTCTACATGTTACTGTATTCAGTAAGTGGGTAGGACTACTGTCTTAGTTACTGTGATAAAAGTACCCCAAAGCAACTTAAAGCAGAAAGGGTTGATTTGGCTCAGAGTTCAAGGGTACACGCAGTGCATCCTGACAGGAATGTCAAGGCAGCAGGAGCCTGAAGCACCTGCTCATCTTACACCCACGATTAGGAAGTAGAGACAGGAGCCGCCAGGATGTCGCCTTGGCGAGATAGTGCCAGCGGTCCTATAGCCTGGAGGTATACAAATCCTTTGATGTTGCCGTGCAGGCCAGTGTGCTTGGGGCCTTGTTTTGCATTTCAGAGACTTGGTTCCCTGACCTGTCCTGTGGCCTTGGGCCCTAGCAGAATGGCATCAACCAATCAGCATTTGAGCCTCTCACCCTAGAAAAGCAGCCCTTTGGGTTTTTCGCTCTCTCTCGTCATCCCTTTTCCCATTCCCCTTTTTAATCAAATGGCTCCAATAAATTGTGATCGAAAAGGATTCTTGATTTTGTGACCGTTCCTTCTTGCTGGACAAGGAGTGCGTGTCGCACCAACCCAAGAAAAGGTGTCACCCACAGTACATGAGTCTTGCCACCTCAATTAACCTAACGGAGATAATCTCCTACAGGCACACCCTATCTCCAGGGCGATTTTAGATTTCAAAGTTGATGTCTGAGATTAGCCATCACAACAAAGGTCCAGGAACAAAACGTGCTGCGTGTGATCTCAGAGCTCCTTCTGCTGCTGCTCTTGAAGCTGCCTCACCTGCTCCTGTTCCTCCTCCGTCCACCCCACCTCTACACTGATCTTCCTTTTCCAATTTTCCAAAAGTGGAGGTGGGGGAAATGCAGCCTTTTTCCCCTCCACCCTTTGCTCTTAGGGACCCACCACCCAGCTCCTGAATAAGTACATGAAGACTTATTTTTAAACTGAACTTCTAAACGACCGGCCTTAGCTTTGCTTGTTTCTAGTCAGCTTTTCTTAATCTTAAATTATCCCATTTACTTTCTGCCTCTGGGCTTTTACCTTTCTTTATTCTGTATGTCTTTCTTTACTTCTTACTCCATTGCTGGTTGTGTGGCTTGGTGGCTGGCCCCTGGCATCCTTCTCTCCCTCTTTTCTCGCTCCTCTTCCTTTTTTTCTCCTATTTATTCTCTCTACCAGCCAGCCCTGCCTGCCTATCCTTCTCAGGCCTAGCTATTGGCCACTCAGCTCTTTATTAGACCAATCAGGTGTTTCAGACAGGCAAAGTAACATGGCTTTACAGAGTTAAGCAAATGCAACATAAAAGAATGCAACACATCTTTGCATCATTAAACAAGTAGTCCACAGCATAAACAAATGTACCATATCTTAAAATAATACTCCACAACAAGGGAGTTGGGGTTTAGAGTCTCTCTATGTAGAACAGGGTGGCCTTGAACTCAGAGATCTTCCTGCCTTTGCCTGCTTTGTACTGGGATTAAAGGTGTCAAACTAGGATTTACTTTTGTTGCTGTTGTTGTTGTTTTTGTTTCAAGACAGCGGCTTACCATTGATTGTAGTCTGGCTTCAAATTTGTGATCCTTCTGCATATGGTTTCCTGAGTCCTGGGATTACAGGCCAGCACCACTGCATGTTTCTTCCCGGCTTATGCAGACTAACCAGTCGTGCCATTCCACCTCTCCTTCCCTCAACGTCTTTCCTCTCTCCCCTTCCAGTTGTACTTCTGACCACACGGATCCCTCCAATGGCTGCCCAGTTCACCCGTCCTGCTGACCTGCTTAGCAACACTCAAAGTGGGAGAGGTATGTTATCTTTGGGTTCTCTTCCCAGGCATACATCAGACTGTGACGTGAGCACAGAAAATGAGCTCATCTTTCCCGCGTCTGTCTTCACAGTGTCTTAGGGCTTCTAATACTGTCATAGAACTAGCTAGCACACACTTAACCCCTTGTTTACTTGTCACACAGCATGTCTGTAGCTGGCATTTTCTTTGGTCTGTCAACCAGCTACCAAATAAAACATGGATTCTTATTATTAATTATGAACGCTTGGTCTTAGCTAGGTTTGTTTCTAGCTAGTCTTTTTTTACTTAAATTAATCCAATTTTTATTAATCTATGTGCTGCCCTGAGGCTACTTTACCTCATCTACATACTGTTCATCCTGCTTTCCTGCTTTCATCCTCTGTGTCTGGATGCCTAGCCCCCTGCTGCCTGGCTCACCTTTTTGCTCTGTCTGCTAGCCCCACCTATCCCTCCTCTGCCTAGCTATCTATTGGCTGTTCAACTTTTTATTAAACCAATAAGGTGCCTTATGCAGGCAAGGTGGAATAAAATAACACCTTTACACAGTTAAGCAAATGCAGCATCAACAAATGTAACACACTTTTACACAGCTAAACAAACACTCTATTCCACAACACATGTCACTATTCAGCTAGAACCTTTCCTTTCTCATTTGTCCCCAAGATGCTATGTTAATAGTAATATCATAATACAAAACATATTCTAATCTTTAAATGTCCCATAAGTGTTTAAACTCCAAACACTTTAAAAAGTTCACTTTCTTTAACATATTCAAAGCTTCTAAAACAGTATTTCTCAACCTCTGGGTCACAACCTCTTTGAGGTGATCAAACAACCTTTTCACAGGGGTCACATAAGACCATCAGAAAACACAGATATGGGCTGGAGAGATGGCTCAGTGGTTAAAAGCACTGACTCTTCCAGAGGTTTTGAGTTCCATTCCCAGCAGCCACATACTGACTCACAGTCATCTATAGTGAGATCTGGTGCCCTCTTCTGGCCTGCAGGCATACATGCAAACAGAACACTGTATACATAATAAACAATTTTTTTAAAAAGGAAAACACAGATACTTTCACAATCATAACTAGCAAAATTACAGTTATGAATTAGCAACAAAAATAATTTTATGGCTGTGGGTCAGCACAGCATGAGGAACTGTGTCAAAGGGTCACAGTGTCAGGAAGGCTGAGAAATACTGCCCTAAGATATCCAAAGTCTCTCCAAAATATCCATAATCTCGCTAAAACTTCTTTTAACTGTGGGCTCCTGAAAGACTGAAAAAAGAAATAAGTGACATACTTACTTACTCTGAGAGGGGAAAGCCAGGGCACGGTCACAATCAGATGAAAGTTAAACCAATTGCAACTGTGTGAAGCCTAGTGTAAGGCTTCTGGGAACAGCGGACACAGCGCACCTCCTAGGCTCAGGCCAGCTCCACTCCATGCCGCTGCTGTTCTTGGCAGTCATCCCATGGTACTGGCATCTCTGAAATGCTGGGGTCTTCTGCTGCAACTGGGCTGCACTTTCACAGGTTGCTCCTCCTGGGTGGTCTTCAAGGACTCACTCCAGCCCTGCCGCACAATGACCAGTCCTCAGACGCTCTCTGTTACCCCTCAGACTTTGAAGCCAGAACCACCTGGGTGACTCTTAAGCTACCAAGTTCAGCTACCAGCATGAGATGCAGCCCCAGACCCCTTTGATCAACAGCTCCTGTAGATGGACTTTTCTGTCCCACCAACCAGCCCCTAAATAACCACACTGAGACTTGTTATTAATTATAAATGCTCAGCTGATAGCTTAGGCTTATTACTAACTAACTCTTACAACTTAAATTAATGCATATTTTATATCTACATTCTGTCACGTGGTGGTACCTTTTTCCAGCATGGTTCGCTCTGTGTCTGGTTGGTGACCTTGCTCTCCTTCTTCCTAGCCTTCTCTCAGTCTTTTTTTTTCTGCCTAACCTCTTTCTGCCTAGTTATTGGCCAATTGACTCTTCATTAAATCAATGAGAGCAACACATCTTCACAGTGTGCAAAAGGATTATTCTACAGCACTCCTACGCTCTGACCCAAAGGAAACAGGTCCCAGAAGATTTTAACTCAACAATGCTGGTCTCTTCTTAGTCACAGCAGATTCTTCAGCCCTAGCCGATCAGCATCCATGGTCCCATGGTTGGTATTGTGTGTCAACTTGACATACGTTAGAATCACCAGAGAGGAAGAAGCATTAGTTGAGGAAATGACTCCATGAGATTAGGTTGAAAGGCATTTTCTCAATTAGTGATCAATAGAGAGGGTTCAGCCCATTGTTGGTGGTGTCATCCCTGGTCTGCTGGTCATGGGTTCTATAAGAAGGTGGGCTGAGCAAGCCAGGGGAAGCAAGCCAGTAAGCAGCTCCCCTCCGCGGCCTCTGCATCTGCTCCTGCCTCTGTGATCCTGCCCTGTTTGAGTTCCTGTCCTGACTTCCTTCAGTGATGAACAACAATGCTGAAGTGTAAGCCTAATGTAATAAAACCCTTTCCTCCCCAACTTGCTTTTGGTCCTGGTGTTTCATTGCAGCAATGAGACCCTGACTTAGACACACAGCAAAGCAAAGGCTTCACTGGTAGTTCTTAATTAAAAATATGAAATGACTCTGATAGAATCTCTAGGAGACTTTTAAATCTTCCCTCTCAAATGCCAAAGGTCAGGCTTCTCTGCTCTCAGCATTGCCTTCTAAGTTCCCACAACTGGTTATTAAACTCTGTGCAATCAATGGCTTTTCTATCCCAAAGTTCCAAAGTCCTTACAAATCCTCCACCCAAACATGGTTAGGGCTGACAATGACATGGTCATTGTCAGGTCAATGTCATGGTCAGGTCAGCAATATTCCATGACCCTAAACTAGTTGGGGATTTTATTGCTGTGATAAAACACTGTAACCATTTTTTTTTAAAAAAAAAAAACACCAAGGTTTCTCTGTAACAATGGAGCCTGTCCTGGAACTCTGTAGACCAAGCTGGCCTCGAACTCACAGCGATCCGCCTGTCTCTGCCTCCTGAGTGCTGGGATTAAAGGTGTGCACCACCACCACCCGGCCCAAAAGAATCTTAGAGTTTGTCTTAGTTACTGTTCTATTGTTGTGAAAAGACACTACAACCCAGGCAGCTCCTATAATAAAGCATTTACTTGGAGGTTGGCTTACAGTTTTGGAGGCTCAGTCCATTACCATCATGGTGGAGAGCATGGCAGCATGCATGCAGAAGTGGCTGAGAGTTCTACAGGTATCATGGAGAGGAGAGACTGGGTCTGACATGGGCTTTTGAAACCCCAAAGCCCACTCTCAGTGACACACCTCCAAGTCACACCTTCTAATCGTTCTAATCTTTGCAAAGAGTTCCACTCCTGGTGACTAAGCACTGAAACACAGGAGCCTATGGAAACCATTCTTACCCAAGTCTCCACAGAGAGGAAAGGGTTTATTTGGCTTATGTATCCTGGGTCCTGGTCCACTGAGGACATCAAGGTGGGAGCTCAAACAGGACAGGAACCTGGAGGCAGGAGTGGATGCAGAGGCCATGGAGGGTGCTGCTTACCAGGTTGACTCCCCAAGCCTGCTCAACTTGCTTTCATACGAACTCCAGGACCACCTGTAATGAGCCGAACCTTCCTTCCTACAGTCATCAACCAAGAAAATGTAGCACAGGCTTGCCCACAGGCTAGTCTGCTAGGGCTATTTTCTCAATTGAGTTTCCTTCTTCCCAAATGACTCTAGCTTATATCAAGTTGCCATAAAACAGAGGGTCCTCTCTCTGGGTCTCATGACTATTCCAGTTTCCATTCTGTTTCTGTGCTAAAAACACCCTGGACAAATGCCGAATGCAGTATAGGGGAGGAAAGGGTTTATTTCATCTTCCACTTCCAGGGCACAGTCCATGGAGGGAAGTCAGGGCAAGGAGCTCAAGGTGCAAACCTGAAGGCAGGATCCAAGGGATTCTGTCCACTATTCCCACTGGGAGCTCAGACAAGGAGGAATGCTGCTTGTTGGCTCGCTCACAGGTTTGTGCTCAGCTCTCATTCTCATATAGCCCACCCAGCACCACCTGCCTAGGGAATGATGCCACCCACAGTGGGCTGTACCCTCCTGTGTCAATTAAAAGAACCAAGATAATCCCCACAAGACTTTATCCATAGACCAACCTGAAACAGACAATGACTCAATTAAGACTCTTTGCAGATGACTGTAGCCTGTGTCGAGTTGACAGCTGATGTTAACTGGGGCAGTGTCCATGGTGCTAAGAGGAGACATGTGCTGATTGGCCACGCTAGGCTCTGGTGAAGGCAGATGCAGTCAGTTGTGTTGAAGGCAGCAGTAGCTGTCACAGCTGTGGGCAAGGCAGTGTTGGATAAGACTTAGAAAAGGACCCTTGTTGTTGTTAAAAATTTGATTTTTACTGGGAGGTAGTGGTGCACACCTTTAATCCCAGCAAGAAGCAGAGGCAGGAGGATCTCTGAGTTGGAGGCCAGCCTGCTCTATATAGCAAGTTCCAGGTCATCCATAACTACACAGAGAAACCCTGTTTTGAAAAAAAAAACAAAACAAAACTTGATTCTCTTTTTGTATCAACATAGACTGGCTTTGTTTATTAGCTATATTTATATTTAAGATTTACTTTTATGTGTGTGTGCCCACCTGTGGCATCCAAATATTAGATCCCCTGTGCTGCAGCCAGCGCAGCCTGGATAACCAAGACTGGCGGGGGTGCTGGAAGAACAGCAACCTTTATTTTGCCCAGCAACCTTTTATACTTCTATTCCTTCTGTGGAGATCCACCAGCCAGAAAGAACACAAACATCCTTGTCAATTATAGACCACAAGGAAGTTTCCCTGCCGGTCAGGGGGAGTGAGGGCAGCTGGATCACAACTCCCCCATTTTATTTTATAATACCTTGCCTGTCATGGGGAATAGCCCTCGAATATTCCGTCTTAGGTAGCATCCTGCCCCCCCCCAATATTGTCTGTCCGTGGCTACCCAGACACATAGCCCTAAACCAAGTATTCCCAGGACTGACAGTGCCAAGGAGCCAGACCAGCGCGCAACCATCTAGCATGCACTAACTGGGTGGTTAAATTAACAAAAGCAGTATTCCAAACCCCTCTCATATGACGGTTGAGTTTCATAACAGTAGAAGCATGCAATACGGTGTCATGAGTAACACACATAACATGATTAACTGTTGAAAGGTCCAAAGATAGTCCACTTGCTCCTGAACCAGAGCTCCTTATTGGTTCAAGGTCAATATGCCCAGTTGAATGTGTTCAAAGCATTGCTGACTCTTTCAGCAAGCTGGTTGACAGTCTCAGCCGTCTGCACGGTCTGTGAGAGAGCAAGTCCGGCAGCAGTGGCTGTGGTGGCAAAACTCTGCTCCAGCTGCCTTCTGACCCCAGCCACACTCACTCTGGATCCAAACTGCTGCATGGAGTGGAGCAGAACTCAGGAAAGCAGACTCGCTGCTCCTGCTCCGGAACCATTAAAGGAGTCCCAGTTTCAATCTTTTAGGGAATTTGGGCGTCATCAACCTGTCTGAGCAGGGGTGCTGCATTCTTGGGGATATTTTACATCAACATTTCAGGGGGTCTCGATGATTCAAAGCACATAAATTTGCAATGAATCCACAGGTTCTCATCCTCTGTGGAGACAAAAGCAGAACCTCTTTTCCAAAGCATCAAATTCTTAACACACATATTTTAAAGTCAAAATACCTTTCTTAGCAATTCCCAGATCAAATGTCTTTCTCCAGTCCAGAACACTAAAGACAACACAATCAACACAATAACATATATCTCTACACATTCTATCTTTTGAGGCCCTCAATTCACTTTCCTGCCTCCTTTTTATTACTTCCCTACTGGCCAATCTTTCAGAGGACATCCCTCAGAGCATCTCTGGGGATGAAGACACACATACTCCTTTTAATCTGACTTGGCTTGTTCCCAGTCTGGAACATTTAAACCCCCTCCTGTACAAAATTTTCAGCTGTCTTCCTTGTTTCTTCCGTGCCTTGTTGCTTTAAGAGTTTCAGTTACTTTTTGAGGCCTTTCAATTCACCCTCCTGCCTCTTTATACTTGTTTATCTTTGGAGGATGTTCCTCAGAGTTATCTCTGGGGGTGAAAAATAAAAACACTTTACCTTCCCCAATATGCTCCTCGATTTAGCCGGCGGCTGGAGCGACCCCGTTCACGTATCCCCACTTTCCAGATCTCAGCGGGACTTCCACTTTGCTGCAGCCAGCGCAGCCTGGATAGCCAAGACTGGTGGGGGAGGGAGGTGCCGGGATTGAGACAAGGAGGCTTCTTTACAGGTGGAAGAACAGCAACTTTTATTTTGCCCAGCAACCTTTTATACCTCTACTCTTTCTGTGGAGACCCACCAGCCAGAAAGAACACAAACATCCTTGTCAATTACAGACCACAAGGAAGTTCTCCTGCCGGTCAGGGGTAGTGAGGGAAGCTGGATCACAACACCCTGGAAATGAAAAAGATTTATGATATAAAGATCGTGATGTAAAAAGATCCAGCCCATCGTGGTGGGAAGGGTGTGGAGGCAGGAGTGTCGGGTAGCAGCTGCTTCTCACACATAGCAGAGTAGAACACAGAGACAGTTCTATAAGGGAGGCCAAACAAACTATAACCCTTAAACTATACTCCCAGGGATTCACGTCTTCCCATCCAACCCCACCAGCACCAGCAGCTGGGAGCCAGGAACTGTGGGAGACATCTGCCATGTCCCACACCCTCTGCTTCACTTACACTTACATCCCATTCAGTGGTGCACGGAGAACAGAAGGAGGGTGCAAAAGTTTACACCTAGGGACTTTGTGTGAGATGGGTCAGCATTAAGAGCACTGAACTGGGCATGGTGGTGCATACCTTTAATCCCAGCCCTCAGGAGGCAGAGGAAGGTGGATTTCTGTGAGTTTGAGCCCAGTTTGAGCTACAGACTGAGTTCTGGGACAGCCAGGGCTGTTATACAGAGAAAGCCTGTCTCAAACAAACTAACTAACTAAAAAAAAAACAAAGAAACCCCAAAAAACAAAAAACAAAAACAGAACAACAAGCAAAAGCACTTGCTGCTCTTGCAAAGGACATGAATTTAATTCCCAGCACCCTTATAAAGGCTCACAACCACCTGTAACTTCCACTCCAAGAAAATCCAATGCCCTCTGCTGGCCTCTACAGGCACTGCACACACATATGCTCATACACACAGAGGGATACACCCCCCAAAATAAATTATTATTTTTTTAAAGTTCACATACACTTCAAACACAATGGTTTTACACTGGGTGCCCAGTCATAGTGCTGAACTCAGCTCATTGCTAGAATATCCTTTTGGCTATTCTAGTCCTTTCTGGTCTCATCAGATCCTTTTGTGATTTGTTCTTCTAAGTACGTGTCTCTGTGGTGGTGTCATTGCTTCTCATTTTTGCTGTCCTCAGCTTCACTGGCCAAGCCCACCCTGTCAGTCAGCCAGAGCACTGTCATAGAGCTGAGGAGTATGATGACATTCTACTGTCATACTGATGTTGATAATGTCACCATCCACTGGACCTACAACAACTCCACATTAGTGTTGAATGAGCGCATGAAGCTGTCTGCGGATAACAAGAGCCTCACCATCCTCGTTGTCCAGCGAGAGGACTCGGGGTCCTACCAGTGTGAAGTGTGGTATGGCTTTGAGGGTCAGAGCAGCAGCATTGTCTTGCTGAATGTGAACTGTGAGTCTCCAGTTCCCTTTACCCATGGCTGACACTCACTTCCTTGGTATTTCATTCATGGTTTAAAATGCTGTCCTAGAGAAGATTTATGTGAAGTGAAGTGTAGAATTAAAGTCCTTGCCTAGCACTAATCTTGCCTAGCACTAATGAGGCCCTGGATTTGATCCTAATCAAAATCACATAGTGTAACATGCGGGCTTTGCTTGTTGGGGTTTCTGTCCTACCCAGTACCCCACAACCAGCAAGTCCAAAGAAAATCATACAGAGGACTCCATAAGATTATAAAACTGATTGGCCCATTAGCTCAGTCTTCTTATTAACTAATTCTTACATCTTATGGTAACCCATAATTCTCGTCTGTGTTAGCCATGTGGCTCAGTACCTTTTCCAGCGGGGTAGGTTACATCTTTCTTCTCTGTGGTCTGGGCAGGAATGCAGAGGGAGCTTCCTGCTTCCCAGAATGCTCCCATTCTCTTTGCTCCACCCCTACTTCCTGTCTGGTTTTCCCGCCTATACTTCCTGCCTGACCAATCAGCATTTATTTAAAATATGATTGACAGAATACAGACAATTCTCCCGCACCAACACAGGACAGAAATCAAATGTAGAATAGAACAGGAAACTGATATTCACATTTGGATTCCATCAGAAATATCAGGATTAAAACTTGAGTTCCAAACAGTACTTCTATAACAAAACCACCACATCAGATACCCACCTCCACCAGGACATCCACCTCCATCAGATCCACACCTCCATCAGGATACCCACCTTTACCAGGATACCCACCTCCATAAGGACACCCACCTCCATCAGATCTACACCTCCATCAGGATACCCACCTTCACTAGGACACCCACCTCCATCAGGACACCCACCTCCATCAGGATACCCACCTCCATCAGATCTACACCTCCATCAGGATACCCACCTTCACCAGGATACCCACCTCCATCAGGATACCCACCTCCATCAGGATACCCACCTCCATCAGATCCCCACCTCCATCAGGATACCCACCTCCA